CTTCGAAGGTATTTTTTATGTGTTCCAACTTGACAAACTTCAACACAAAGGGATTGTCACGTACAAATCACTCTATAAGTAACAAGCTGTAAAAAAGCTACTCCAACAAACTGTAAAAAGGCTCTTGTTCATAAGTATAACGAATGTCATTTGGATGACGTTCGGTTTGAAAACTGTCCAGCATGCAGGCCTTAGAATCGATTAATTTAGCATAATACCGAAATGAGGCGTCTACCTGTCTGTGTCAAATCGTTTTCGTAGAGTGGTCGCCCTGAGGCGATCTTTTCGTAGCGGTAGAACTTTATTTTCGGGTGGCCTAGTTATGAGATTGATCCGGTCCCTATATACCTGTTCCAGGGGCAAGTACCTAAACTTAATCAACTAACACAAAACACACCCGTGCTGAAACAGATAATCCCGTATTTATTCTAAACATCTGCAATGAAACATACGAAAATAAAAGCGAGAACACCATTAAAGTCTGCGCAGTCTAAACTGCTAAATATTAATCGTTATGTGTCGATAAAATTGACAGTGTTAGTGGTCGGACAAGTCCAAAGACGAAGCGAAAACCTGTATTTAAGTTAAAATATTGTACAATTTATTAAGTTTTACCCATTCAAATAACTCCTGGCATATACGCAAGCTCGCATTATGCTGAGTGTATAATATCAACGGCTGAAATTGTGACTCAACAGCAAAATTGACGCGGCGGGAAATTGGCGGGCCCGAAACTCTACGCTCAGGCTATCTTACGCTGGAAGTTAATAGATCTTGCTCCAGTTTAATGGGTAGAGTCTTCTAATGTTTATATAATTCTTCAACATTCATTATATGACTGTCGCATTACCGTTTAAAGTTTACCCTCCCCTACCACCCTTGGCGTGCGATTTCGCTATTTAGCGGTGCAGTCTCCTTGGAACTGATTTCAGTACCTGCCGAGCCAATCTCAACACGTACGCAAATGTTGAATTATAAAAATCCCGAACTAGAAGAAAATTAATTTCGCATTTTCGCTTTTAATTTCCAATTGCAGTTTAAATTTGCCCTGATCTTCTTTCCTGGCAAAGAAACATTGCGTGACAGATGCCGCACTGTATCGCCGTAGACTTTTATGAATGTTGGAAGTTTTTACATCTGTTATATTCATCGCTCCTAAGAAGTGTCCTTGCAAATTCGCTGATGAATCTGAATAATAAAACAAAATAGATGATTTTTGTTAGAAGCGTGCACGGAAGACGCAGCATTGATCTACAAAACAGTACGACGTTGTTTACGTTTATAGCTAGAACAATGGCTTCCAAGTGTTTATTGCTTCGACAGCTAACGTTGCCAGATCGGCAGCATTACGTGCGATTACACAGAACAAAACGGTACAGTTGAAAATCCCCTATTTAGATTTACTGAAAGATTTTTATCCAGTCCCGTAACACGTAAATCGATAATAACGCATCCATTTCAAATACGCCACCGAATAATACTAACTGAATGTTTCCAACTGAACTAGTGAATGGTGGATGAAAAAAGCACAAACAGAAACGTAAATTCTAAGACATTAAGTAGATCACTGATGTTTTTTGAGGGACATAGTAATCGTTCAGGGCGTTACTGAGGTGATGTGGCGACTAAATATGCTGACAGTCATGGCGACCCAGTCTGGCGTGCGTCCATTAGTTACGTTCCCGCCGTCTTTGCAGGCTAAGAAATGGCGTCGTCAAGAAGCTGTATTAATATTGCGGTCCTTAATGTCAACACGAAGCAAGATGATAACGATGTCTGATGTTGTTCCATGATATAACAGTACTTCCTTTATTCAAGTTATTTTTCTCGTCTAAAGAGATAGTCTACGTCGCTTCAAATTAATAGTAGATTAACAATAGCAAACGTTTTACATTAAATTCTATTTTAATATTACAACAGTTAGCCTTTCAATATACTGACTGAGCTTTTCTATTTAAACCAGCTCCAGCTGTTCAAGCTGATGTTTTAGGATCCCCTTATGCTAATTAGGTCTGACAAATAATCTTGTCGGGAAACATATAGTGGGGTAATTTTGAAATAGGATAGAGCTGACTTTTGTCTAGCCTCGATAATATGCGAGGTGGGTCTCCAACGTGTAGGAATAAAAGTGACAAGCTTTCAATAGGCATCTCTATCGCTCCACTCTAGAACGGGCGAACCGTGGACTTGGTTCGAACTTCTACCACTGATGGTCGAAGTTGCTTTTTCAAAAGTTATCATAGTCAAGTGGGGTGATGATGCATAAATAGACCCATTATAACACTTCATACTTAAAAACAATAATTCAATAAGGTTTATGGTATTATCAGGACGAAACGATTTATTCCAAATTACTACGACCGTCTTCGGTCTGCCCAATATAAACGATGGTTTTGTTTGTGCAGAATAGCCCACACTGCGGTGGCGTTTGCTTGCTTTAATTGCAAAAATGCAGCCGTGTAGTTTTTAAGCGATGGAGATATTATCATAGGTTTTATTGTTACGCGCCAACACAAATAAGACGATGTCGTCCTGAATCATAATTAAACGCCCATGTTAATTATCGGCCCACCCTGACCCGTAAGCGCTTGCATGTTATATATAATACCGCTGTTCGATCGTGCAACTTTTTCATTGTATTTAATACGTGCTATTTTACAAAAGGCTTCGGTAATTCTGATTTGCAAACAATAAATATACGATGGTGAAAAAGGCTGCTGTAATGAACACATAATCTACATGATCGCTCCTTATTTTACTAAACAAATCCTTTTTCCTTCTAAAAACCACATCAACAAGATAATCCCTACATCTCGCAAGACCTATACTACAAAAAAGCTATTAATCCTTTTCTCAGGCGTCATCTGAAGAAATGGACAAGTCACACACCGATGAAATGCTGTTTCAGCTCGTATTAGATTAAGGATATTACCTCATCTACTGGGCGAATCTGGTGGCAGTAAGCAAATGGAGATGACAACGATATTTCAATGACACCGACTAGAACGCATAGGTGTCCACCTTCTCCAGAGTTGACAATGCCTGAGATTTTCTTGTCAACACCAGGCCACATCTACAACGGCACTGACCATCATCCAGACTCGGTGGTACGACGTGGTTGGAGTACTCCTTGCGACTCAATAAATTACACCGTACAGGCGTTCCAGCAGACTATCGCGCTTTGATGAATGAACCTTAGGAGTGTTAAACTAAAAACATTGCTGAGTGGTGACACGTGCCACTGTATGTCTCGGTTGCGTTAATACAGAAATAACAAGCCATTAAATAATATCATTATTTAAGTGACATAACTTGTATGTCGTATAGACAACAGCACGAAAAAAGCATGAGGTTAAACGCTGCCACTGGCAAAGTTAAAAAAAACCTGTGACAAAGCATTATCTTTCCCAGGACTTTTTTTACATAGGCCAAATGTGTCAAATGAACCACTTTTTGAACAATTTAGCAAACGATCAAAACGCCATCAGGAAGCAAACTAACAGTTAGCAAAGGGAAATTCCCTGAAATTTTATCCAGAGCGCTTTCATCTTATGTTAAACGTGCACAGGAATGACATAACCGTCACCCCATTAGGTAGGAAATTTCGTAACGTAATAGGAAATCGTGATAGAATAAGATCTTTGTCGTAGACATTACTGATACTAATTATTTTGATCTACCCCTGAGTCATATATGTATCCAAAATAAATTTATAAACATTTTTATTTAGGACCTTTAACTAAGTGATATTCTTCTATGTGTTCTGAAGCCGTGTGTATGACATTGCGGAAATTTTAATATCAGCTGATTATGGGAACTTGCAATAATGTTGATGTAGTAACGATTAATTGGATTGTGTATAGACATTTTATAATCATACGATACATTAATTGATTACGATCGATATTTAAACAGATAGACCGACAGGAATTGATTTGCTGTGTAGGTAGCTATATTCTTTTCCAAAAGTAAGTTCAAGTTATTTTATGTTTTCATGATACACCTGATTAGTTAATTACATCCCTTATGTAGCTATTAGCTATGCCTAATCGGTGTCCCAAATTCATCAAGCTCTCTCGTTAACGTTTCTGTCTGATTTCATCGCATCAGACCTGTCAGTCATTGAAGGTGTTAGATAAGCGCTCCGTAGCCGCCCTTTGGCTGCCTCTCATTGAACGAATCAACAATCTCTATCTGAATGAGCTATCGGTTACGTAATCACATATACCACAGAAATACCCGTGCAGCTTAGTTCTTATCAAATACAGGCCGCGTTAACGTCCTGAATTCGGAACTGCCTACTATATTTTGGCGCACCTACATTAATCAAGCCCGCAAAATCCTTGCCACGAAACAGCTACTCAGTGAGCCCTATGCCCACAGCATCTAAATTAAAAATATTTCGAATTAGCGTCGGGCACCGCCCTCAGCCACTCTGTTATGGGACTGACTTTTAGCACGAAACAAAATGTGCCTACACACGGATTCGATCCTCCATCACAACGTATTAACATCTACATGTTAGCTACTAAGCTATCACGTGGACTGGCTTTCCCAGCAACATCTAGCTAGTCCATCGTTGGCTCCTGTTGCAACATTCAGTTATGTGTGTATCTATACATAAGAGTAGGGATAGTGAGAAGATGACGGTGCCCGCGTTCCCAGTCGCAGCCAGCCACCGTGGGACGCCTGCGTAGATCGCGACCTCCATTGTCCTTATCGGCCTGACACGAGCAACGGTAACTATTTCAGTACATAACTGACGACCGCTGCTAGTGTGCCTACTAGCAACGGACTAGTCGCCTGAACGCAATGTGTTCTAGTCCATTTCATCAACTCGACTCCCCTCCACCCTAATGCTGTAGTGGTTGTAGTAGTGATGTTGTTGTTGGTGAGTCTTCCCTCTCCCAAAGGCTGCTCAGGCTTCCCTCTCCACCCGCTCTCCTCTTCCGTCAGGGTGACAGAACAGAACGAGAATCGTTGCGTGCCAAGGCGCCTGTCGCACTGCCGGACCGACATCGCACCGCGCTATGACCAGCCACAGTGTGTACAGATAGTAGACACAGGCCCATCGAGCGCCCAACAAGAGCACTAGGCACTAAGCGAGTGAAAGCAAAAACGGCGGGCTCGCCACCATCCGTCCAGAAGAGAGAGACACTCAGAAACACATTGAGCTATCTACATGGTCCAACGAGACGGTGAAAGAAAGGGTGTTCGCCACATTCCCCTCCAGTTCGTTCGTTCCGGCTGTCTATCATCCGATTCTATCTCAGCCTATCGTACCTGGTTGCCGTTGTCTCTTCCCTCTTGCGCCTTGAATCATCCCGTCTTAAAGTGTCGATAATCCAAAAGCAGGAGTTCATTCGATTCTGTGGTAGAGTTGGTGATCACAACGGTAGATGCCACTGCTGATTGTGTGATCGTGGATTCCGAGCGGAGCTTCTGGCCGCTAGCGAACACGAAGGGTGGCCAAGGAAGTCGTGCCTAACATTAACGCTTTTTTCTGTATACCATATAATGGTATAGAGTGTTGTTTAACGAAACACCGAAACGAACCAGTCGACACTAAGCGATGACAAGAGGAGTGACTCCTATATATATATAGGAAGATGGCCTGATAGAAGGACCCTGGTTTGATGACGAAACGCCAGAAGACGACGAGAAATAGAAGTTCGATCTGTTTTGTTGAAAAAGAGAAAAAGAAAAAGTTGAAAGAAACATAAATAACTTACTTCCTGTCTTTAGTTGACACTTAAGGTTCTACAGATGTTGTCATCGATAGCTGGGAAAGGCTGCGAGCAGTGAGAGAGCCGTTGTTCAAATGTCACAGGACTAGGACACGAGGTAGATGTATCACCCAGCAGACAACGAGAAACACCAGTCGCCATAGCGTATTTTCTGTGAATATTATAGAAACGTTACAATCAAGTGAGTGAACGTTCCAGTTTGCTATCGTCGTTCCTACAGCTTCGCCATGCTGTTCTGACTACATCCAGACGAAGTTTGACCGCAGATTAATAGCTAATAATAGTGACCTTTGCGAGTTGCGTGTGTGTGTGAATGTGGACCTGTGTACAACATCCCTGTGCATGGACACACGAAGATGACAGTCGTATTATTCGAATCATTCACAGATTCGTTGTTTGTTGGCCATCGGTCGGCTTGTGACGGAAAATAGATGTAAAGTAGCTGCTACAACTATAAGGACGCATGTTAATTGTCCACCTACTTTCTTCGTTGTTACCCTATTTTAGCCTTTCACAGTTGAAAACGTAGCCAACGATACGGACTGTGCTGTGTATCAACTTGAATTGTCGTCATTTCTATCGATACTCGTTTTATCTTAACTTCACAATAGGTGTCTTTACCTGATTCTCGAAAATCGACTGTAATAGTCTCAGCTGAACGAGGAGACTGGCGAACTTTGCTACGTTTTTTAGACCTGAAAGGGCAAGACAGGTAGGAGCGGATGGTGACAGCGACACTCGGTGTGCCTCAGACAGGGCTCTCGGTACTGGCCGCACATTCAACATTTAAGCCACGCCATCCACCTTCTCCAGTAAGTTCTTTTTAAAACTTACCAACAAAAAATACCCAAATCCCTGAAGAACAAGTGAGTGGTGAAAACGTTAACTGAATATTTACTACTTCTCATTTGAATCAATATTAGCTGGTTAGATAAAAAGTCATTTGAGTTTTCGTTTCTGAATTGAGACTATTCATATTGATATTTTTGTTCAGGCACTCCGTTCTGCCTTTTGATTTTGATTGAATGTGATCCGTAGGAAAACACAACTTGCACTCAGATTTAGTGCTAAAATTGTCATAATAAAATTAGTTTATTACGATTCTACTTTGGTAGGCGTGATAGCCTAGTGGGTAACGTGTTTGCCTGCTAATCTTAAGGACGCACGTTGCGGTCCAGCTTCGAACATGGGCATAGGCAGACTTCGTTTCGTGCTGCGAGCTAGCTGCCTGATGGAATGCCTAACGGCGATATCGAACGTAATACTCGAAACGTAGAGTGTTTGTAGTTAGAGCATACCTTATAAGGGGGCGGTCCGACGTTATGTAGATAGCACTGGTGTATAGATCATGGCCTGTTATCGTCCTGCTCAGTGGCTGTCTAGTAGGGGGTCGTGATTGGGAATACACGAAGTAAAAAAGCCCCTGTGGACGTAGGTTAGCTGTACGATGAAAATTTTATGGGTTCGTATTGCGAACTATAGCCTCATAATGCTGGTCTGCGAGCTGCTGGGTTTACCATAATTTTGGATCTCAGCTGCAGGGTGCAAGAGCATCAATGCCGAAAGGTATACACTATAGGGAAGTCGCATTATAACCATCTAAATTTTGTTTTCTATTGCTTTGCTAATACGCTTTGCCGGTGAGCTCCTTCGTTCTCCACTCATGATAATGTACCCGCTTTATTTTTAGGGACCTATCGGTCTTCAACTTCATTCAAATCTAAAAAGACAAAACAATAGCATGATGAAATATGTAGTATACAAAATTTCATAATTGTAGTATTTGCAAGATGTTGGACAATATTTGATAGAATGGTTTTTGGAATTGATGCTGAAAATCTACTGCAATAGCTTCTCAGTAGGAGGGCTACGGCTCGCCTTGTTTTTAATCGACGACGATATATAAAATGATAACAAAAATCGTTCAAATATTAGAACTGCCTCATTTTCGATAGAACATAAGTGACCTTCGAGTAAACTGGCGTGTGATCCCGCAAAAAATAAACAAAGCCCAAACCACCGAAGCCAGGTATATGTAAGAAAATGTCGATTAGAACTTAACACTGATCGTGGCGAAATTCAAAGTTATTCAGACTGATTTTACAAATAATTTTTCTAATACATTTTTTTTTCGGTGCTGTTGAAAACGGCCAATCTATTTTACTTACGTTGTTCGGTTCTGCCGGCTAACTCTCGTTTCTAGGCAACGCAACGCAACGCTTGAAAAGCTGAGAAGAGAGTTCATTAGGTCGTACGTAGTTAGCTGTGCTTTTCTATCTTCTTGCGTGTCCTTTTTCGACTACGTTTTAAAGGCGTAAGTATGAATGACGCCTCCGGCCTTACGCAGTTGAATCGTTGATGCCTGCGCTTAGTGCGCAGCCGTATATTCGAAGTAAGCTGCAAACGTTGTCATGGAAACGGCGCACGCGGCAAATGGACAAATAATCAATCTAAACCTTTTGAACATGTTCGGCGATGACAAAAACGAACACCACGATTTAGTATTTACTCAACACGTTTTGACCTTCCGTTTGTTTTGAGTTATGGTACGCTATATTATGCGGCCTTCTCGGAATCCTGAGAACGGTTACTGCTTCCTGAGCTGTTGCATACAAATCTGATAATGTGTGCCCGATCTAAGATGGCTGCCATTATGGATTTTGCAGTTGTTATTATTTTCCATTCTCACAAACTGTGCAGTACCTACCCGCCATTGGCTGGACTTGGAGGAATGGCGAACTCTGAGTCTTTTAAATATCTGTATCGCTATCATATGAATGTACTAACAACTCTTCAGAAGATACCGTTTGACCAGCCAATGTATTCAAGGAAGAGACGGTAAATTCTAGGTTGATTTAGACGACTGTGTCGACGCCAAGGCTGTTAGCAAAACATTTTCTTTGCTTAAAAAGCAGAAACGTTGACTTATGAGAATACGCTTATTCAGGTCGACGATCCAGATCTTAATGAAACGGTACAATAGAGGCTTTTGATGAGTATTAATAATATTTTTATTTGCCATTTCACGTTACTAATGTTGTTTCGGTGTGATAGGAGCGTACTTTTTTGCAGCTTTATATAATTAGATTGTCAAAGTTAGGTAGCTTAGCCGTTCACTGTAACTCTGCGTTCACTTGGCACACGACATACTTCGATGTGCATTTTTTATTGGGCCTGGTTGTTGCATGTTGCAACGGACTCGCTCTTCCTTCCTGACTGAGACAGTCTGACAAGTGGATCATGGCGCAAGCACATTGCTGCTAATGGCTTCCCTCATTTACGAGGACAGGTCGAATTTCGGTCGTTATCAGGTGAGGATGCCATGCGTCACGCAACGCAGTGCCCTGTAGACGTGCTATACCGACGAACATGGCCACCTATTCTATTGGCTCTGGGTTCGACTTCAAGCAATGTTGACGATATCAAATGTAAACTCCTTCCAATCCTGGTTTTACCGAAAGTGTCAAATTAGCGGCGACAGATTCCAGTCAACGTCCATGCGTTCAGTGACCCGTGCAGCTGCACTGCCATCACTTAGCGGAATTAGAGTAAACAACATTACGTGCTCTAAAGGTTTGCAAAGCCAAGCGTCAAAAAGAGCCTTTGACCTCATCCCACTGAAAAAAACGCTAAATCAATATGTCGAAAACTCTGTTTACGATGCTCTCCGTAAATAGTAGGTGGCTGTCACTGCTTAATGTAAAAAGTGTGTCTTTGTGAGTGGTAATAAATCGAGAGCTGCCAGCATCTACTCGAAGCCGGGGTCGTTTGTCTAGTTTGGTATTTTTTTGACGGCCGTTTGGCTAACGGAATTGCGAATTTGGATTTATTGTGACATTATTTTCGTGACGTAATAGTTGACTTCTGGCAACTGTGGCAAGTAAAACAATATGAATGGCATTTTAAAAATCCTTGACCTTGGTGAAGGCATCGCCGTAGAAAGCCTTCGAGTATGGACAAGAGGATTTTTCGCCGAGACCACGAGGACATTTACCTCCGTAATCGCAAGGTATGCCATGGCATGTGACGCATGCTTTACACAGAACTGCCTTGCTATGATGTACGCATCTTGTGTACGTGATGTTGAGTACGCATCTTCTTTGTGGTGAAGTATAAAGTTGTACAAGGAACCGTGTGCAACTGACTATTCTAAACGGCGACTTGTTAATAGGTAATGTCCAATCCGACATCCTCATACTCGCATTACATACATCTTTACGTCTGGATTGTTTGGAGAATCCAATGTGGCTTAAGAACACTAGATTATCTGAGACATAATATTTTAATTGTGATTTTTTCGTACAACTCAACGTCAATCATACAATTGTAACGGCACTGCCTTTCCAGTATCATATGGTATTAACCCTAAACAATCAAGTCTGATACGACCGAGATATTTTAATGCGGAGAAATCGTATGAAGTTATTATGCTGAAATACTTATATGTAACAGATGCTTAAGGGGGTTGCGAAGTAAACATTATTTACAAGATTACATTTGTTAACTCAAGTAATGATTGCCAAGGTGATATAGATTTCCCTTCAGATATGGATGTTTAAGTGATGGGCCTATGTCGTAGAAGCAACTCCAACTCAATAATGCTGATTAAATATATCAGGCTGCTACAAGTGAATCCGATGGACTCCGAAATTGAATAGCTTTTGAACTAGTTGGGCTAGAATGATGACTTTTTAATCTGTGTTAGGGGGTTCCCACATGTAATTTTTCTTTGTATGATTTTTAGATAGAAATCGATGCTGGGATGTGCCTGCCCACTGGTTACCCTTTTTGGGGCATGGAAAATTCAGTGGCAATACGGAGTTAGATCCGGAAAATGAGCAGACTAAGACCAATCTTGGATATTTATTTGCTCAACCTAGGAAGCAACTGAGGCATTTGGCGATGAGGCCTGGCGCTGTCATCGGGTGAAGAGACTGCGTGCTTTCGGTCGTCGTGGCAATGATCCATGTATCTTCTGAGGAACTTGAAATAGCGGCATTGATTGCTCCATTTTTGGTGATTATATCATCATGGTGAAAGCTACGTCATCACCTTACGCCCAAACCTACTCGACATTGCCACCGAAGACGGTTTAATGCTAGGGCGCCGCCATTCTCTTGCCTAGTGTCTCTCCAGCTGGCCATAAAGATTAAACCATGCTTGGTCTGTGCAACTGTGGGCTCCAAGCGGGCTTTTTTTGCCAATTAAGATTCTATAAATCGTGCAACTTTCATGCAAATACTCTTTTTTTTACTTGTTTATATACTGACTTTCTGCTTCTTTAGTGTTTGGGTTATAAATGTGTAGCATGTTACTTGCAAAATGTCTACTTTGGCCGACAGAGCTCTTAGACCCGAAATTCTGCTTTCATGAAAAGCTTCGTCGATCGCGGCAAAGCATTTCGTACCTCGAGTCTCGACATTCAATCATGACCTCGCTGGTCTTTAGCATTCCGGTCTCCGTTATTAAAGCATCAGGCCTCCTTACCTAATGTCTTCACAAACCTTCAATGAATTCCCGCAGCGCTGTGGCTTTTGATGGACCAAAAACTCGACCACTGAGTGTTGAGAGTTCATTTTTTATGACTTATCGGAAGTCGATCGGAAGTTTCTAGAGGACTAGAGTATATATTAGCCATATGTTGTCTCCTAGCGGCATGTTTTTACTTTACTAACATCCGAATCAACGATAATCATGGCTCTTACTATATAGGGATACATTTTCAGTATGCGTCTCAAGCAAGATATCATAGCAAATCACAAATGATCAGATTCAACGGAAACATCATTTTCGAAATGCCCTGTACAATTAA